GGCCATTTTTTGGTTGCAGCCATCATTGTTGTTTGGCGGGCCCGGGCTGGGGATTCGAACCTGCCACCTTAGGTGTATGTGGCTGGCGCCTCAGCTGCTTGAGCCACAGGCGCCAAGCCTCCTCTGTACTTTTATCGGTTTCCTTATATACTTATTTGAGGCCATATTATTAGGTACAATTCATTTAATTGTTATATATCTTTCTGGTGAATTCAGTCATTCTATATTGACTTTTAAAATCAAATTTCAGTTAATGCTTTTTCATGTTAATGTTTATTATTTCTGATTTTAAGTGGTCTGGGATTTCCTTTTTTGGTTGGTATTTGCCTGGTATATATTTTTAACAATCTTTTAATTTAAATTATATTTATACCCTAATATTTTAGATATATCTGTTTTAAACAGCATGTAATTAGAGTTTTAAAAATCTATTCTTTGTTACTATCTTTTAATTGGAGCTCATAGTCCAATGATATTTAATGTAATGATAATGTTTACATTTATCATCTTTTTGTAAAATGTTAATTAATTTTGTATATTATTTTGGTAAGGCATGTTAATGTTATTCCCAAAGGTTTATGTAAAGAAGCTTTTGTATTTAAAAGAAGCAAGCAGAAAATTCCTGTTTACTGAGATGGGGAATATTTCTTATTAAGATATTAATTATTCATTATATGTAATCATATATATACTTATTTTTTCTTTTGTGTGTGCTCAGCTTTTCGTTGTGGACTGCAGTTTTTAGGCAACATTGCCTCACGGAATGAAGATTCCCAGTCTATCGTTTGGGTACATGCTTTTCCAGAACTCTTTTTGTGAGTATCTTAATAAGAATGCTTCTGGGTGACAGCTTGAGACTTTGTCTCAAAAAAAAGAATGTTCCTAACCTCTGAGAAGATTGTGGTGGTTATGTTGTTTTATTTATATGAAGTTCAAAAACCAGAAAAACTAACCTGCGGTAGCAGAGTAGTTCTTAGTGAGGTGGCAAGGAGGTACTTCCTGGGGGAAGGAGGACAGGAAGCCAGCTCCTGGGCGCGGGTCCTGGAGGTGCTCGTATCTTGGTCTGGGCCGTGGTCGTGGATGTGTACATCACTAACATTCACCTAGCTCTCTGTACTTAAGATCTGTACCTTGGCTTGTATGTCAGTTTACTTTTAGGAAAATAAAAGTCATGATTAAAGTAAGTAATATAGTTAAGGACATGGACCTTCATTAGGAAAAACCATGAAAGTAGGGGTAGTGATTTAATCCTTCATTTACTGAACGCTTCTTATATGGCCCACACAATGCTACATGTTTTGGTGGCTATAGAGTGGTAAGAAGTGGATAACCAGCCAGTTTGTCAGTGTAAAAAGTAGATAACTAGTTGATTCATTTATCAGTGTAAGATGTGAATAACCAGTCCCTTCATCATGGATGACCAGTTCATTTATTCATGTGAGAGAGAGGTGGATATCCAGTCCCTTCATCATGGATGACCAGTTCATTTATT